GGGCATGGCAAGTCGCTCAGCGGTGGTCCTGTTGTGTGTTCTCATGTTTGATCCTGGATTCTCACCTCTGATCATGTGACCTGGGCGCCAAGGCCCACTCCTGGGGTTCCCTTCAGTCTGCAGGTTGGAGACGAAATGGGTGCCAACACAACTTGGTAGTGGTGAATAAGTTCTTTTCTTTAAATTTTTGTAGTGTGTGATGCCATTGTTCTCTTCTTATTTTAGATATAGCACTGAGGCGCCCTTTTTTCTTCACGTCCTGCAGCCCTGCAGTGTAATTCTAGGTGTTGAGGACAACCCCATCTCCTGGGGTCAGAGGTTTTACGATGCAGTTAGGGGTTGGTGTGCACCAACTGTTACGACACTGCATTCCTCCATGATTCACTCTGTTTGTCTCACAAAATGCTAGTGTGTCTTTTTCCCTTCCTGCCTGAAAAGAATGGGCAGGGACTAACTATTGCAATTACATTTTTTTTTAACTATAGCTGAATTGCATTGTGTGTTACGCTTCATCTACTAAGGAAGATGATCTAAATTTTTATTTGCATAGTACAGTGGCTACCATTCAGTAAAACTAAATTTAAATTTAAATGGAATTTGAAATTAAGGTGTTAAAGTGGATTGGGTGTCTATAGACTGACTTACTGAGCAAATGACACCAAGTTCTGTGTTGATTTCATAAATTTAATCAAACATTAAATTCTTTGCTTGAGGTGTGCAGATTGTAACAGCATCTGGGACACCGTGTTTGAATTGCATCCAACTGTGTTACATGAGGCTAAAGTTAGTGGTGATAGCGGATTTCATCTCAATGAGTTGTATAGGATTTTTATTGTATTCTATGACAGAACATTTGTTCTGTTATAGAAACAGGGGGACATGAATGGAATTGATCTGAAAGGCAAATTTTTAGTTTGGATCTCTGCATTTACTTTTCGGAAAAAGAGGTTATTGAAGTTAAATCAAAATACATTAAATGTTTTATGGTGTATTACCAGCATTAAAGATGAGCTAACTATTTGGATATGAAATAAGTAAAATGTATAAATTGAATATACTAAACAAAATATTGACTATCAAATAATTTACATAAAATAGTGTTTTTAAACTAAGGAAGGTGATCATTGGATTGTTGTATCTCTATTCATATGTTTTAAAATAAGTTGTTTAACTAAGACATCCAGGAAGGTCTAAACTAAAGATTTACATCATTTAATAAATTTAGCTGTATTGAATCTCTCTCCAAAACTGAAAAGGCATTGATAATTGATAAACAATATAAAAAGGGTAATACATTATTCAATTAAATATTTTATAAATAGGTTTTCAAATGAATAAATGGATCAAAGGTAAAAATGGTTGAAATTTTTGGGATTTAAAATATGATTGGAATAAAGTAGGTCATTTTTGATATTTAGTGACTCATGTAAAGCAGGCTGATCATTCTTTAAGGTTTTAAAAAATAGAAAATATGATGATTGAAATTAAATTGGTCTAAATTGGAAATTTACAAATTAACAGTTATGGAACTGCTTCTAAAATACAGTTAAGTTTTGGGTTTAACATGATAGGAAACTTTCATTTCTCATGTAGGCCTTATATAAAAAGAGGGTCAAAGGATTGATAAAATACAACTCCAAAGTAGCAGATTTATAATACAAAAGGAAGACAGTGAAGCTGTCATAAAGTGTAGGATCAATCATTAACCAATCAACAGGGTTCTCTCCATATGAGCTCCAGACAGGACGGATGTTTCCAGGACCTGCTACCCGCATTCCAGGATGGAAAGGTAAGCTTGCACATTTATCTCATAAAGATTTCTTCAATGAGTTACAGGTCCTGGCAGCAGAATTTACAAAATACCAGACGTCACAGGAACGTCCAGGCTCGGGATCAGTTCGGGGAATCGACTGGGTGCGCCTGATGGTCATCAAAAGAAAGTGGTCTGAACCTCGCTTCGCCAGACCATACCGAGTCGTGGAGAGTACATCTCAGGCTGTCCGTCTACAAGAGAGAAGGAGACACGTGGTTCCATTGGAGTCAGTGCACATCAGCTGAGGAGCCACGGCGCACGCTGCAGGGCATACAGGAGAATCTACAGTCTCAACCTGCGGTCGAGGAGTGTCTGAGGGCCATCACAGCGCGGAGGAGGATCTGCATTTCCGGGCAGAAGTCTGCCAAAACCACTTCATTTTCCTGAATTACAAGGCTTAAAAGGCCCAGACAGGCACAATAATCCTGTTCCGGTGTCCTTCCATTGAGAAAAGGAGATTGCACCCTCTCCTTAAACTCACTGTTAAATTGGCATAATACTCCAATTTTCAGTGAGCAACGGACACTCAGGTGGAAAACCTGAGGTTTACAACCGAGGAGGAACACGTGAAGGATCCAGCTACAAGATCATCATTAACTTATCTTCTCTTTATTGCGTGTTTTTGTTTTTTGCGAACTCTTCAAGAACATTCGTTTCTTTTTGCGCGTATTTTTTGATCGTTTCCTGACGAAGAATTCATATTCATTTTTGAAAGACTATCGAAGGAGCATAGAGACGAACTCTAACTTCTTATTATTGAATTGTGAAAAAAAAAAAAAAAAAACTATTTTGTAATTTTTATGTGTTTATGCTATTTTGTAATTTTTATGTGTTTATGATGTATTTCTTGATGTTGTTATTGTTTTTTATTGACAAATTGTAGTTTTTGTGGTGAATATTGTCTTTTAAGTCTGCTGAGCATTTTTTAGTAATTTTGAGATATCTTACTTTTATTTTTTATTTCATATTCTGGGCTGATATTCCTATTGTGTGTTTGCTTCTCTTTCAGATAACTGAGTTTTATGATTTTTCATATTTGATAAGTGAAATGTATTTTTAGTTTAGTTTTTACTGGTTAAAATTTTGTGGTTCATCAGGTGAGTATTAAATTGTTGGACAGCGCAAGATACATTTGATAAGTTTAGATTATGGAGTTCAGCTTTAGACACATGGCCTGGCAGGGGACCTAGGAGGTGCTGTTTAAAAAAGGGGACTGTTATAAAATTGGGCTAATGTTTTAGTTTTTTAGTATACTAAATAATTTTTTGGTTCCTCTATTAGAAGGCTTAATCATTTTATTTGTGAGGTCTGTATGTCTCAGACCTCAAAACGGGGACTGTTAAAGAAAAATTATTATTTTTTAGACTTTATTACAGTTAATCTTATGGCATGTGTAAACACTCTCACTTGAACATATTTCTTAATTTTGAACAAGGCTGTGTTAATGATTTAAAACTACTAATGGGTAAGTATTCAAAGCACAGGAGGCCTTAAAATGAGTATCTTCTGGGGGGTGAATAACAGTTAAGCCTGCAGGAGAGATTTCTGCTTGGTTTACAGAAGGTCAAAAGTCTTCCAGAATAAACAACCAGGGATGGTGAGGCCCCCCGCATTCCACAAGCTGTCTGTGAGAGCTTATCTTGTGTTTTATGACTTTAGGAATTCTAGATGCCAGGACAAGCTTTCCGCCTTTTCTTGTTAAAACAAAGAAGCAAATGACCCCAGATGTTTGCAGTAAATAAGGGGAAGCCCTAGCAGTGTCAGAGATGGCGTTTGGTTGGAGGACCGAGGGCCAGCCCCTTTTTGAATGGATTAGATACAAGAGGATAAAGCTTTCTAAATAGAAGAAAAAGATCAGATTTGCCCTTGCAACTCTCCAAAGATGTCTCTGTACTCTTTGCTTTCTTTCCTCCTATGTCAGGTAATGGAATGTATGTCTCTGTTGTTCTGCAGTTTCTGGTGTAGGTTTGTGCATTGTCTTATTTCTAAAGTGTATGCATTGTCTTATATTGGATTAAACTCTGTAATTCTGTGACGTCAACACGCAATGTTGGTTTTATTACCAAACGCAGCTCGCCGAGTGGACCTGGGGAAGGGAAGAATCAGAAGCCAATCTTTTTCCAAAGTTAACTAAGTTAGAATATTTTCTTCCTTTACAGAGGGCACTCAAAAAGTGCAATTTCCTTGTGAAGCTAGAACAAAAATCTGATTTTGTTTGGACAAATTGGCACAGGCAGCATTCTCTGGCATCTGTATAAAAAAGGCCTGCATAGCTGGCAAGTGAGCTGGAGGTTTAAAGAGGAGCCTTTCTGTGTGTACATGTTTGATGAAAATAATGAGATTGTATCCGCCACTACTCCTCTCTTTTTCACTCGATTCACTATGGAAACTTAGCTTGAACCATTTGGAGTCCAGAGCTGCACAGTTGAGAGCTTTTTTTGTTGTTATTTAACAGCGGCTATTGGGTAGACATCAATTAACCAGCAAATAAAACAGGGAAGTAATTTCTTCTACCTGAAAATGGGCTGACAGGCCCTGGAAATTATTTTTAAAACTCATTAAAAGCCTCCCTTGCTGACAGTCCAGCCATGATGGAATTAAATCACCCCTTGAATCTCAAAACAAGCAGTATACATAACACAGCACTGTATATCCTTGCATCAACAAAACCTATGAAACCTTATGAGCTGTTTTATGTGTAACGTGGATTCATTACGCATGCATTTATTGTCTTTATTCCTTAGCAGGAACTGAAGAGGCTCACGCTGAGAAAAAAAAGGATTATCTGCAATTAAAAAAGGAATAGAAAAGAAAAGCTTTTCATCCAAATGAATGTATTCCAGGGGACCAACATGCTAAAATGTATGATTCGACTGTGAAGACAAATGTAGCCAGCTTAGGTCAAAAATTAACTGTTATTCTAATTAAAACAAAATTTCATAAAACAATTCTTCATACTTCAATTATATTAGGCTAAATAAGATACACAATGTGATTCTCCTCATAATCAGGTACATTTGAATTTTAAAAATCTAATTTTGTGGAGAGCGCAAATGACAAAGAGCGACATCACATCTAGGAAATGTCTATTGTGCAAACCCATTCAGTGCTGATCACGGGACAGCGCAGCATTAAAAGTGCAAATAAAAGCAGCAGAAATGGTAAAAACTTTGCCAGTGCTTCCTACCGGTGGGCAGCGTCCATCCACCAGCCTCACTCACTCCGGGTTCGCCGTGCGCCCTGAGCGCCAGGAGCCCCGGTGCTCCATCAGAGAGCCGCTCAACGCTCCTCTGCTTCCTCCTCCCGCCCCTCTGCCACAATCCAAACTCAGCCCGTCAGCAGGATGACAAAAAAAGATCAACCAGAGAATGACGAATAGATTACATGGGCAGTAGACGCACACGTTTTACTTAAAGAAGTGTAATTAAACTCAGGGTTTCCCTCCCCGCGTGTGTGGACGCTCAGCGTTCAGGTGCAGGAGTTTAGGCGCACCGGGGAGGAGAGCTGCGTCAAGCCATTCAGACACAGGCAGAACAGAAACACATGGCCTTTACCTTCAAAATAAGACTATCTGGTCCAGGAAGTTTCATCCGACAATCCACGTTACTTTTAACTTTTAAAGAAGCCTTAAAGGTGCCGATGTTTCTTTTTTTGGAGTCTTTTTCGTCAGGGATACAAAACTGCGCAGCTGCTAATGGCCAGGTTTAAATTTGGCATCCAGCTTTCAGCTGTTATTTATCATGACTAAAATATTTAAATAGATCTGTCTCCCAAGATTTATAGAAATACAAAAAGTAGCCTAGACTTTTATTATGTAGACATACAGACTAAGGCAGGCTAAAACAATGAGCCCCATGTCCTACAGCATTACATTTTGCTTTACTGACTAAGGTCCCTGGTTTAAGCAGAAGTTTTTTGGTCCCTATTTTCAAAGCTTTGTGGAGAAATGTATTGTGGGATCTTGTGGGGATTTGTTGATTAATGTGTATACATTGGCGCACTTATATTAATGTTTGTTACACTGGGGGAAAAAATTTTGTAATTTTTTCTTAAAATAAGTGCATTGAGGAGGTTTGCCAATGGAACAAGACAATTTACATTTAAAATAGGGGAAAAAACTATTTCATTGTCTTATTTAAAGTGAATATTATCTAATTAACTTATTTTAAAGTAAAAATTCTCATTCCATTGGCAAATCAACTTATTTACCTACTCAAATTGAAGGTAATACAATAATTTAAGACATTTTGACTTATTTCTAGATTGTTTTTGCAGTGTAGCTAGAATTCACACCGGGAACAATTGAACTCTAGATATGTATTTTTTTCTTAAATGGTGGAGGTAAAAGAGACATTTTTCCAATGGAACAAGACAAATTAAACTTAAAATAAGAAAGCACAATTGTATTGTCTTATTTTAAGTGCATATTATGTAATTATCTTATTTTAAGAATGGAAATACTTATTCCATTGGCAAACTATGTCATTCATTTACATACTCAGATTAAGGATGAACACACTTAATTTAAGAAAATGTTACTTATTTCTAGATTGTTTTTCCAGTGTAGATATCATGTTTTCTGTGGTTACTATACAGGAACTACATGAGATCCATGTGGGCTATTTGGGAAAATTGATACATTTCAATATTGCCCTCTGGATTGTGAGAATAGGTTTGATATAAGTGGACCCCATCCATTTTCAAGTTTCAATACCTACTTATGAAAAAAATGAAAGAACACAGTAAATGTCACAAAATTGGTTGTTTAAAGGTTTCAAAGTGGCCTCCTTTTGAGTGTCCAATTTAATAATATGGTGATATTTATTATTTGGTGGTATTTGTCTATGATAATAATAACAAGGTTTTTCCCCTTTGAACTTTGTTAAGTTAATGTACATAAAAGCACAAAAAAAGACAATGGCTGTGTCTGAATGTCCTTGAAAAGTAGTGATCATCCATGATCATTAGATGAGCAGATATATCCTCGCAAAGCATTATGGGATTTGTTGTCACAGTAGCCTGCTGTCACCATAGGCTGTTGCTACCCGAGAGCACCGATTAATAACGAGGATGGTGCAGGCACCACGCGGTGGAGGCGGAGTCACGTTACCAATGAGGAGCAAAAAGTAGTGATTATCTTTGCAAACGGTAAGTTAAATGAGTTCACTATAGCGTTCACTATATAGTCCCCGCTCTATATAGTAACTAAGGGTTTTAGGGGTTAGGGTAGACGTTAGGACACAGCCAATGTCATTCCCAATTGTAATGTATCAAATGGTCACATTATGGTATGTAATGCATGAGACAAACAGGTGATCTATGAAGAAGGTTTATAAGCTTCTGCTCCTCTGTATCAAAAGGTATCAGCTTAGTTTATGGATGCCTACTGGAAAACCTCTTACTGGAGGTCTTTCATTTACTGGAGCTTCTTTAGATTACACCTGGCTTTAGACAGCCACAGAATGAGCCAGAGAGTGTTAATAACAAAATGGATGTTTTGAAATGGTTACCTAAAAAAGACAATATTGGAAAAGTGTAAGTCATTAGGTAGATGAATGAATAAAGCGTGATTGTTCAGAAGCTTTAAAACATTAGCTTATCTCGGAGAAAAAGTGAGGAATTCTGTCTGCTACAGTGTTTGAATTTCACTGTTGCTACTTTTCTGAAGTCAGTGTTTTTTTTCTTTCCCGACAGTCATGTGAATTTTACACTTTATGCCACAGGATCGGTAGTTAGTAATTCCTTGTCCTCTGAAACCTTTCAGAGCATGTAAGCAGATTTGAAGGTATTGTGCTAGTGCTTTCTGGGTTTTAGTGAGCTGACACCCCTGCTGAGTGTGAAGCCAGAGTATCATCTCACACATGACAGCCCTCTCTGCCCACACACCCACTCGCTTGTGCTGTCCAGGGTCGCTGACTGCTGAGATAACTGGCTGGGAGAGGCAGGATGAGGGATACAGGGAGAGCGGTGCACCATCAGGCGGAGCAGATCGAAGGGACAAGTCACATGCTCTGACTCGCTCTGTCAGTGTCAAGTTATGCAATATTAAGAATAAGCCTCTACAGTCTAAACTTTCAGAATAAAACATTTTTTGGCAAGGATCTGTGGACTGTGGAGACAAGGATTTTCCACTCTGAGAAGAACAATCTGACATCTGCCTCAGGGACTCCTGCGCCTCTTAATCTCCTCCTGATTGGCCCCAATGGGCTGCAGCTGTGCAGAATAACCTGGAAGAGAGCTGAGGCGCATCCCATAAAAGGCCTGTGGACGTGGCAAAAGCAATATAAAAACAATATGAAATAAATTGTTATTAAAGTAGTAATTGGTACAATTAGAGAAATAAAAAGGTTCACTTTGTTGTAAGTAAAACAGGATATACTGTTTAGCCTTTCAGACCGGATTTTTTTCTGCCATGAAAAACGAAATTATACATCAGATTTTATCCCCTTTCAATACGGAGATATTTTTATTTGCTTGCCTTTTTTGTTCTATTTTTATGTCTATCCAGTACATCCATTAGGGCTGTGCATTTCAACTACACATCTATATCACATTTATATCAAATACTTTTATACTGTTTAAATGAAGTATTTTCCAAATAACTCTCATGACTAGTACTTCAATTGTTTAAGAGAAATTTAAATAGACAGTCATGAGCATCATAAGATGTTTTAAAGCAAAACACTAAAGAGCTAAGGGTGGTTTTAAACTTTTGCAGGCACACTTTTTGTTAAAGCAGTCTGTTAATTCATGTAAAATAAAATAAACTGTAAAACCAGAGCTCAGTTATATGAAACATTTTTTGCAAAACATTCTCTCATCTTTAATATATTAATCTCTGTAAGGCATCACTGTGAGAATTAAACTTGTGTTGAAACTGAAGCCTGCGGATGAACAGGCAGAAGATCCTAAAATAGCACTTAAGTTACAGTACAGCTCTTTCTTTTTCTTCTGGCTCCAAGAGATTCCCAGATGGTCTTCTAGCTATACCTGAGTCCCACTTTGGGAGCAGAAGAGAGCCCACTTCAGGTCTCTGCAAACAGCTTAAAGGGAGCTATAGTCTTAAACACTCTTCTAATGACATAATATTCACACAAGCTTCCGAACCAACCTGAGGGATGTTTGCTTAGTGTTTAGAGTCAAACAGAGAGAAGCAGTAATGGCTCCGGTCATTTAAATGCTCATTAGAAGCAGGAAAACGAGTATGTCCTGACTTAACACTGACGAATGGGTCTGTCCCATAGATGACTGCTGGGTCAAAGACAAAAAAAAAACAATAATTCCTACAGGAAATGTTCTTGAAAATGCTGTTGTTGCACAATGAACAGATTTAACCTTAGAGTGTTGAGCAATTTAAGATTTCTCAGATCTAAACTTAAAGTTTAACAAATCTCTAAAGGGATAGGGAGTTTAGCTACAACGTTACATAAAATGAATAAAGAAACCTGGGGAGGAAACAGGGAGCAAACTGGGTAATATTAACTTAACCAAATGAATGATTATTCAACGGATGATCTCTGCCGGAGCATATTTTGCATGCCGTCACCTTTGTAGCACAGCTGATGCCTGTCTGAAGGAGTGGCATAAGGAGCTGGACAAGCAAATAACCTGCATGTCCACAGCAGAGCAGCTCACAGCGATAGATTTACAGTAATGTCATAATCTCTGTTTTGTCTTATGAAGATGCATCTAACGATTTCCTTTTACTTAATTGATTTAGGTCATCCAAAATATTTCTATCAGACAAAGGTTATCATTGTCTTCCTCATCTTTCATTCAGGACCAGGTCACAGGGTTAGCAATCGCCGCAGACACTCCCAGACTTCCCTCATCGCAGACACCTCCTCCAGCTCAGCTGAGATAAGCCTGAGGTGCTCCAGGGCCAGCCAAGATATATAGTCCCTCTAGCATGTCATGTGATAGTCCCCTGGGCTTCCTCCCGGTCAGACATCCCTGGATCCCCTCCTGAGGCACCCAAGGGGCATCTGACAAGGCTGCCACCTCAGCTTACTCCTCGCGATGTGAAGGAGAAGAGGCTCTACTCTGATAATGACAGAGTTCCTCACCCTATCTTGAAGGGAGAGCCCAGCCACCCTGCAGAGAAAGCTCATTTTAGATTCTTATATCTGGGATCTTGTTCTTTTAGTTATGATCCAGATGTCATGACCATAGATGAAATTAGGAACATGGTGTGTAAAATAGAGAACGCTGCCTTTTCGCTCATCTCTTTCTTCACCACAACAGACCAGTGCAGCGTCTGCATTATAGCAGCAGCCGCACCAATCCTTCTATCGATCTCCTGCTTCATTCTTCTCTCATCATGAACAGGACCCCTCCTTGTAACTGCCATCTTGCTGGAGGGGTTTAAGTGCATGGATTATCCCTAAGGATATGTTGTCTGGGGCTTAAATGCCCCTGGTAGGGTCTCCAAGGCAAACAGGATGTGGATGACATGACAGTTCAGTCTGAGAGCGGTTCACAA